TAACATTAAACGGAATTGTGACGTGTGGCTTGTGTAATCATGTTAGAACATGACGAGTGATCATCGTGTTCTGGCCGACTAAAGACCTAGTAGTTCTAGAACCATTTTTGTGGGAACATAGTTAATAGAGAGGACCTCTCTATTAACTATGGTGGGAACTAGCGGTAAACTAGTGTGAGCTGCGTCGGCGTTTCTAAAGAAACAGTTTTGTAAAAAGATTAAGTCAAGGATAAATAACTTACTGACGTATCGGACGTTAATCCTTCGTCGGAGGATTAAAGCCGCGGATACACGAGAGATTTTTCGCTTGCGCAGGCGACGCATGCAATTTTCGGGTGCGATGAAAGCTGAACATCAAATGTGAGCTCTTTTTGTACATATACCTCTTTATGGAGATTCAAATAAGTATTTTTGATAAAAATCGCTCGTGTAGCCACTGCTTAACAAAGCGTTAGCGTCTGAAACGTCAGTAAGTTATTTCATCTACTGTTTTACGGTACTAGAACCATTTTGGCCTGTATAGTGAACTAGCAAATGCGAGCCAACGAAAAGTTGTAAGTAGACGAGAAATGTGTCATTAAGACATGTGTTCGTTGTGTTCATATACTATTATAGCAAGTTAAAAAAAAGGTTCTTGAAGCGGAACTACAATTGCATTACCGAAAGCCATTGCGGGAATTCAATTTTTTTGGGGAAAAAATAGAAAAATCGGAGATCTCCGTTTAGTGAGAACAACAGTATTTACAGCCTTGTGTGAATATTGCCATCAATACCCATACAGAAACTCCTTATCTATATAATATAATAATTTATCATATAATTATCTATGAAACACCTATATTTCTCCATTTCGTAAAATTGAAAATAACATGTTATTTTCACTAGTGAAAATAACACATTTGAGGTTTTCAACACTCGAAGATAAAATCCGTATCTCCGCGCGCCCACGTAATAATATCCTCTATATAAGACATCTATATCTATGAAAATATCTATCACTCAAAATTATGAGATAAACAGTTATATATATTAAGTGTGCGAACTCAAAAAGGGTGCTGAGGGCTAATACCCTTCTGATGACGCAACAGCTTATATGCAGTCCAAGGTTAGTGATTTTGAAATAAGGCCCCTTTTGAGCTCCAACAWCTCATATCTATATTTGGCTCTTAGTCATCTGGCTGACCTGGTTATGTGAGATTGATTATAGACAAGACTTTCTACTTTTTGTAGTATTATGATAAGACTGATCACCAGACGGAAATATATTTGAAAATCGGTGAATAATTNTTAGAAGTTTTTATCATTAACAATTTTGATTTTGATGAAAAGTTCCCTAAATTTCATATTTCATTGATTGATAACAAATCGCGTTACAGCCTTTTGCAAAAATTATGAGAATTGTTGAAATATATAAATATCATAATATCAAGGCTGTATTCGTATCATCATGCTTATTTCTAAATTTACTTAAAGTGCACCTTCACGATTTTTTTTTAATCTTTAAAATGAAAATTGAGGTTAATGGAAACGTATCTGTGAAAGAATTTTTCATTTTTATCAAAAAGCGAATTTTTGGTGAGCTTACAAACATACGAAAATGTCCACTTTGAGCTCTTTTTTTTTTTGTTCAATACCGGGAAAGACTGGGACCGACTCTGACGTCATTTCAGGACAAGGCATTTGTTGTTATCGAAGCTTGACAGTGGATTTTATCGCGAGTCAACTCCAAAAATCTTATTTAACATCGATTTTTATGCTCTTTCGCGAATGAAATGCCCATCAAGTGCCTTGTTGGTGGCTGCAGTAACAGGCCAGATATTTTGAAGGGAATCGACCCTCAAGTTACGACGACCCGAAGCAAGAAAARGACGGAAGAAGTGGCTCAACTTTGTCAAAATCAAGCGTGCCAAATGCACAAGACGTATAAACCATACCGCTATATATTTATTGAGAAATGTCAAGAGGCTACCGTGAACTCAGTTTACTAGTAATAGGGCTGGAATTTCAGCAAATTCTTTTGGCCTCGGCACAAAATACGCAAAACAGCCATTAGTTGAGGCAAAGTTCTCTATGCCCGGCAGTCTAAACTTCTCGTACTCGAGAATTACAAAAACTTAGAAAATGAAATAAGTACGATAAGGCAAACACATGACTGAAAATATTCTTCCTTTCAATCGCTTTTCTAATAAATTTCATGAAATGAAACGACTACGAATCTAGAAATGAACACTCGCTTTCCAAGCGATCCAGAAGCAAAGCGTAGAGTTTTAGTCATGTTTTCAGTTGAAAATTATGAGTGCCGGGCATCGTATTTCCCCGATTTTGAAACCGCCGATCAAGCTCAGCGCTTGACATTTCTCTGCAAAGGAAGAATATTTTCATGTCTGTAATCGTGTTTTTTTAATATTTCATTTTCTCGAGAAATTTAGACTGCCGTGTATGTACATAGTCTTTCGCGAGGTAAAAATTTCGAAGTGCCTCAAATGACTATTTCGTATTCTGTGCCGAGGACAAGGAATTTGCTGAAATTCAAGTCTACTGAGTTCACGGCAAGCGCTTGACAATTCTCAATGAATATAAAACGGTTTGATACATTCAATCTTAGCGGTTTTATTGATTTTTGTGAGAAAAATAGACTTTTATAAGGCATTTTAGTCTTTTGCGACCGAACTTATGGCCTGGGATGACGTCACAAGAGTCGCGCCAGTCCCCGCTCGGACAAAAGAATTTGACGCACTTAATTTTGGCTTTATTTTTCTGATTTCGTCCCAACCGTTTACAAAATAATCACCAAACTTTCACAGAAAGTCTTACAAGGTTCATAAAAATTGTTTTAGATAATAAAAAAAAATCGTGAAGGTGCACTTTAACAAACATTGTGCCTAATGATCATCCTCTTTGAGCCTGCGAACAAGACAGAAAGCGCACTCGCTACTAACCTATAACTATAGGGCTTGAGGAACTGACTAACAAATTKTACGAAAATGCGGTTGAAGTGTCTATCATTAGTTCGAATTCCTTTGGGAATTCACACACGGCGAATCATGTATACCATAATTAATTTCTGAATTCTTTGCTTCTTAGTTTCAGTCTTCAATGACGACAATAAAAACAAAGTGTACCGATGTAAAATAATTCTTTTTGTTCTCTAGAAAATAGAAATGTCAAAAATTCCAACCTTTTTGAGGGGGATATGCTTCTAACTCCATCTCAACGGTACGCGGCCATGGTAGGAGGTGATGTCAGTAAAGCAGAAATGGGACGAGCTTCAGTGTTTAAGAACCTCTGGCCTGGTGCTGTACTGCCTTACGTCATTGACAACGAACTCAGTGAGTTATTCTCGAACCCAGATCCTTCTCAGTTGTCCAAGGAAAATCAAAGTCTCTGGCTGGTAGCAGAACTGGAACGGAAACAAAATCTGGGTCGTACAACATATGTATACTGATGGCTCATGGGAATTTTTAAACCAATCAAATCATTCGTCTACGACCAGATACTTTTGATTTTYCCGCCAATGACAGCGGTCTCTTAATCAATTAGAGCGAGTGATTCTATTGGAAGTTTTCCATAATTCGGGCCATGAGGATTATAACGAAAAAAATATCAGATTGCTAATCAGTATGGTCGGGTTTCTTTGTTCACAACGACAACGTTATAACCAATTTTTGTGTTTAGCTCTAAGCCCGGTTTTACTAGGGTCCCATGCTGCTCGATGGKTACAATAGGGTGTACAATAGAGCTACAAGATAGTAATCTATAATTATCCTATACCTGGACTATTTCAGAACGAAGCAGTCGTGCAATGAATGCTATCCGTGAGTCAATGAAGATTTGGGAAACCAAGACATGCGTTCGATTCAAGCAAAGGACCACGGAAAGAAACTACGCCTATTTTCATAAAGGAGCAGGGTAAGAGATTTGAATGCATCATAAAAACCGCAAAATATGATGTGATTTATAATCAACGGTGTGCATCAGTTCTTGGAGGCAGCTGATTTTGACCTTTTTTCGCGATCACTTGAAAAATCTTCAATAGCGACTATGATCAGATCGCGATTTAARGGGAAATTTGTAAAAGGGAATTCCATGTAAAAATCCCATCTTTAAGAATGTTTAAACGACCGGGATTTTTGCAGCGYGATAATCGCCAACCTTTGCTATCGCGCAACTAAAATCGTACGTGTAAAAAGCCCTGCGATTGYTGTAGCGAATTTTCAAGCAAATTTGAATATCAGGCGATGGTCGCGCTCTGCAAAAATCGCAAGTATAAACCGGCGGGGCTTAAGAGCGCTGCGTCCTTTTAATATAAAATGCATGGTGTTTTCAGGTGCACGTCATATGTTGGGGTGCAAGGTGGTCGACAAATGATATCTCTGGCTTCAGGATGTTGGCACACATACATTACAGTACATGAAATAGGTAAAMTAAAGCCCTCTACACGTGAATCGCATGCATGTTGAGGATGATAGACAAATTAAAACACCATTTGATGATAATCCCTAAGCAGAAACTAGTGGCATAGTTATTTCAAATTGCCRAGAAGTGTCTCAATGGTGGGARCTAGCGGTAAACTAGTGTGAGCTGCGTCGGTGTTTCTATAGAAGCAGTTGTGTAAAAAAGTAGGAGAAGTAACTTACTGACGTTTCGGACGTTAATCATTCGTCGGAGTAAAAGTGAAGTARAAGTGTCTCATACTAACACAATCACATCAAACAGGTCATTGTCTTGGTTTTTACCATGAGCAGTCCAGACCAGACCGAGATAACTACGTCAACATTTACTGGAACAACATCTATCCYCGTAAGTAAATAAGACCTGCCGCAATATTTTAAATGCTAGTCATTGATGATCACTGTCAGATGTTAAATCGGATGTCTATTTATGATTCTTAATCCGGCAATGGAGTGAATGTAACTTTAAAATACAAATGAGGGAGAAGGAAAAAGAATCAATAATCAGTTGTTTTTTTTTTCAGAGTACAAGTTCGCGTTTAACAAGTATCCCAGGAGCACTATTGACAGCTTGGGAACACCTTATGACTACAAAAGTATTATGCATTACGAAGCATATGACTTCAGCAAAAACAGACGAGTGACTATTGCAGCTAAAAAGTCTGGGGTAAATAAACTTGTTTAGGATTCTTAAAGATATTACTTCATTACAATCGTAAACTGAAAATTTCCTCCTTTTACATTCTAAAGGCTACTATTTTGAGTGCACTTTAAGTGGAACGAATAAAAATTATATTCGGTGAATTAAACGTTATAGTTCTTCCAGTACCTAGATATATTTCCGTGATTTTGGGATTCCTGTGTAATTACGTCATTTTTTGTGCCTCCTAGTACGTATCCCGTACGCATGTTTACAATATAGACTAACCCACTATCTGTTTATATTTCTGTTTCTATATAATACTTATGATAGAGTGCACGTCACATAAGCATGAAACAATTCTTAATATRTATTGCTAAATAAGATTTAGTTATCAACTAACTAAGAATTCAACAAAGCATAAACACAATGCCAATTATTTAAATTCCTTTGTASCATTGTTCTCAATTCTTAGTTAGTTGATAACTAAWTCTTATTTAGCACTACATAGTTAAGAATTGTTTCATGCTTATGTGACTTGCACTCTAACACGCTATCTTGGATTGGTTAAGTTATCGTTTACTGACGCGTTACGCACACGTGTGACTCAATTAATCTACCGCGCGATCTGATTGGTCAGAACCAGTGCACGCGCTTTGTTGTCTTTTCATTCAACCGGTTCAGCGATATTACGAAAGCTCGGAAAAGTTAGAGGAAAAAAATATACCTACATCCCGCTATTCAATGTATCTATCCTGTGATATCGGAGGACATCAAAATGTGACGCGATTAACGTCTTTATTAAGTTCTCGTCATATTTTGACGTCATCTGCGCATCTTTAAATAGACGCACAAAAAATAAAAACGTTTAATATCTTTCTAATAATAGATCGTCCTCAGTAACAGGGTTGGACCTACCGATATCGACATCAAACAGATGAACTTGATGTACAAGTGTAGCGGTGGCGGTGGCGGTGGTGGTGGCGGTGGTGGTGGCGGTGGCGGTGGTGGCGGAGGAGGGTCGAGTAAGTAGGGAGTCGAGTGGGAGACCGACCGTACCGTTAGAGCGGATTTCGTATGACTGTGCAAAAAAAAGGCACCTTCGCGCTGTGACCGTACCGTAACGGAGTTTTGTAACCACGCCGGTGAAACACTTGATAACTTTGAGCTCATTGTTGTCTCTGAAATGACGCAATCAAAATATGACCATGAAAGACTTTACATCTGCATTTTGAAAAATGTTCTACCATTGAGAAAAGAGCATACAGGCTTGTTAGCTACTTTTTCAAATAAACGCAGTGGGAATGGTGTATTAGTACCGTTTGCAAGTCTGTTTTAGAACATCAAAATTTTACAAATTGAGAACTGGTATCCAACAATTCAAACAGTTTCGATTTTTGTCTCAGAAGTCAATTATAGAACAACACTAATATTTTGCTGCAATTGTATTGGCGGATGATCGAAAAGACGGTTTTAACCCTACCCCGGTAGGTCTTGATTTTGCACTAGGTGTTGAGCATGTTCGCTTTACGCTGATTGGCTGCTTCCTTTTCAGGGAATCAAGTAGCAGTTAACAAGRATTAGTTATGGTTAGGGTATGGTTGAACATTGTTTTATTCACCTTTATTTTTAGATTGCACTGACAACCACCGACGCTGTCAAGAGTGGGCCAATCGCGGAGAATGCAAGAAAAATCCTCGTTACATGCTAATATACTGCAAGAAGAGTTGCAATGTGCAGTGTTAAAGAGATTAATCAGATTAAAGATACAATGCAGCAATCAGTTGTTCATAATTTCTCCTTATTTTKTCCGCATTCAGCAAACACTGTGATAGGGATAGGCGTCAAGAGCATTGTCAGCCAACTCTGTTGATCAGCTCATTGTAATTGTGTTTTGGTGGATGGTATAGCCCACATAACATAAACTGACGTCCCGAGGGTAATACCAAAGTCAATGAAATGAGATTTTATTTCTGACATAAATCGCAAGCCTACTTTGTTCCTCTGGTTCCGCAAACCTAAAAGCTATAAACTTCCAACTAAAGACAAGTTCTGAAGTTTTCACGTAAAAATATTTTAATTATTTTATTTTAATTACAAGGGTTAAAAGAGGCACAAATACACCAAAATGAGGCTTACCCAGTCACCAGCAAATAATTCAATACAAATCCCCCTGTATTTTTATTCCTCCAKAACTTCATTAGTAGCTTCATTAAAGCTTTCCACAAACACCTATGCTTGATAGTTCTTCCAAAAAGTGGTGAATTTYTCTATAAATATTTTCAAATGGATGAAATCGATGGTAGGCACTTTATGAATGTGGTCTATGGTGTCTAGATGTTTATAGCGTTTCGTAAAGCACGCCCAACAGAACGCGATATAGAACAAAACAAAGTCCATAGCGACTAGACAGTCGATTTTGCGGTGATTTCATTATTTTTATGTAMTCTATTTTGTCTGAATTTTGACAGATTGCCGTTCTTCCAAGATAGAGCTCTATGAACAGTGAAACAGATCATGCTATTWTCTAATTGGTTATGTATGGTTTGAGCTGTAGTTGTAGTTTAAACTTTCCTGTATCCTGTTGCACAACCAAATTTCTAAAATAAATCACGACGAAGTCACAACTTTCCATACAAAGGTTCAGTGACCACGAACAAAGCATTGAACCGAGGCGTCAAGGAATACTGAGCATAAAAGAAAATGAAATGATATGTGATCAGTGTTCCTTYAATGCTTTGTTCGTGGTCACTGAACCTGCGTATGGAAAGTCTCGAATAGGGCAGCATCAGTCGAAACACTAGTCAAAATATCAGATAAACAGCTTACAGATCGAAATACGAGAGAGAGCCCGAGTTCACGTAAATATGCATCTACTTTATTCGATATTTCACTGCAATAGTCTCCTTCACGGTTACCTGCGCCATCTTAAAAGGTAGCCGTGCCTTGTCATCGAAGCGAGACAACCGTTGAGCGTGCAATGATAGAAACCTTCTTTCACACCTATAGACAATTATTCACAGGCTCAACGGTCGTCTCGCTTCGGTGCAAAGGCACGGCTACCTTTCAAGATGGCGCAGGTATCCGTGAAGGAGACTTATTGAACGATCCCGATGCACTGTCCTACCTCCCTACTGTTGCTGTGTCAAACAGGCGACATTATTCCTTTGATATAAAGCATGGAAAAGATACCGATTGCTGCGATATGTAGGAGATTGTCTTGAATGTGTTATATGTTTTTTACATTTTTATCAGGAATAAGGAATTGAGTAAAAATATTCGATTTTGTGTTTGTTGTTTGGACAGTTTCAATTCTTYAGGGAAAACTGCTCATTGTTTGATGATTTATCTATGTGAAGAAGGGATCGGTGAATTACGTGTATGTTCCCTGACTGCGGTGAGCAAGCGAGATACTATAGGGCTATGACCAATTCCAACATTTGAGCTATGCCGCAATCTGATATTAGTCATAGTGCCGATGGTATGCGAAGGCATAGTGTCCTCATTTAATAATGGGTGGCGTATTTCCACTCAAAACTCTGCTGTGAATTACTTACTGCATTTGGGGTTTGACTTACGTCATCAATGATCAATATTTAGAAAAAAAGACCCTTTGATAGGTTACCACTAAATCTAAACACGGAAAGTTTTCCTTGAAGTTTGCTATAAAACAAGACGCGTTTGCACACTCGGAGAACTSATTTGTGCAAGTATTGCAAAAAAATCMATTTTAATGCGTTTGAAGCTCACTTTCAGCAAAAGTATAACTCAATAAAAGTAAACGATATCAATTTTCACTTCAATATTTTATTGGATTTTTAACTTTGCATCGGAGGATTGCTACTCTGTCTTCCGTTRCCATCATCGGTTTCCGTTCTGTAAGGTCAGCGGTATCATATAGCACGCCAATCAATCTGCCAGAAACAAACAAAATGAATCTGAATCTAACACACATCAAAGTGGTTGCAATAGTGGAATTAGCAGCAGGAATAAAAGTAGAGACCTACCACATTGAAGATTATTGACGATTTCAACTGTTAAAGTTGCACCTACATCTGGATTAACGATTTTCATCGTGTCTATGACTTGTTGAGCATTATCAGGAAATGAGTTTTTCAGTCTACAGACCATGTCTTTGTCAGCTTGAGTCATCTCATTCTCAATATTGGGGTTTTCCTCTTTGATCTTTGTTATCACAGCTTGGATCTCCTCTACGCCACCTCTGTTAATTTTGTCATCTCGCAATAATTTACCAGCGATTTGGCTTGCATCGTTCTCTTTTTTTCTCAGAAAATCTTTAACTTGATCTACTATGAGTTTATTGTTTACCAAGCAAGTCGCATCAATGTCTGTCGCATTTCCTTCCACCCACCTGGTCCAAGCTTCTCTCATTTTTTCTTCCTGGAAAAGTTCAAGCATATACGGAAATAGTTGGCATTTGTTTTGAATCATTCAATCTTAGACCCGTTTCCGACGTCGATCTTTTGCCGAGTCTAATCTAATTGGTGGAGTTGAGTTTATGAGCATTTTGTACTCTGAATTTATTGACATTAGTAGATTTTGTTCAGTTGGACAAACATACTATAATCTGTAAATATCAATCGATGTAGACTGCAAACTTCTCTGCATGTAAGCAATTCTAGATTAGACGGAAAAGCTGGGGAAAATTCGACAATTTTCGATTCGGTCTATGGCAGCTAGTCATACATTTTTCACAAACTCGGCTATTAAAGAGACGAGCATCAAACACAGAGCCTACTTACAGTGATGTATTCTTCTCCTGTTCTGTAAAGGCACTTTTTTGCGGGGTCAATTGGGACCTTGTTCACGATATCGTCGAAAATATACGGGAATGGTGAATCACCTCTTGCGCATTCCAACTTTACTGCACCAAATGCATTGCCTAAAGCATTATGAATAAGAGTCTAGTAACCTTGCAATAAATAACTAATCAGACACATAAATCAAGCCAATACATCTCCTTACGACCCTCTCTAGTACTCGCGGGAAAAGGGTGTCCAGTATATTTTGCCTGCGCATGTGCAGAACGAGTCAAGCAGATTAACAGTTGCTCAAGTAGCAATGAGAGGTTTAGCATGACGTTCACGTCAAACGGCATAAAAGATCACGTGACCTGCTTTTTTGGAGTTTAACGATGCAGTTTCAACTCGAGAGCGGGTTATTTTGGGGTTTCCATAATCGTGAAAAGCCGCTCTTTCAAATGACTACCAAAAGCACAAGTTCGGGCACGATATTCTTAGGTCATTGGTTAAATCAGCTCTGTCGTTAGCCGTTTGCCGTAAACCTGATGCTTAAACCATCTATAATCCGCTGCAGAATTAACGACTTTTCTTTCTTTACGTYATTATTTTTGTTTGATTAATTTAGTCAGTTTTTGTCTGTGTTAAGCTCCATTTGTAGTCATGATAATAATAGTTTATTCAAATTTTCGCTTTAGTGTTCAGTGGGATGTTAACGATGATTTCAACATGTGAACCTACAACAAGCGGGTGAACGATAATAATCTTAACACTGAAAGTTAGACCGAGCCAAATTGCAAGGGGCCAAGGATAGTGTTGTTTTCCTAGTGCATCGACGGATAATAATCACGGATGTAAATGACATTTCATCGGTCTTTCTTRATTGCACTGGAATTCGTGATCACCACATCAATGTGATAATCGCGAGGTCACTTAGATGACATGGACTTTACTGGACTCTCTTTCCCCGCGATTTGGGAGAGAGGCCACGACTGGACTAATATACCGACAAGAGTCGATATGTATGCTTCCAACAAGAAKATAAGTGTGYAAGTTTGCTGACCCAAGATAATAAGGRACTAAAACCTAAGAGCCCAACCCAAAGCTAGTAACTAACTCTGCTCAACCGATAATGTTCGTGAACAAAAGATGACGTCCATAAAACAACGTTTACCTTTATGTCTGAAGCAGCTCAGTGTGACGGTAATGGTTCCCAACACTTGATTCATGGCTCTCTGACGGTTATTTAGAATGCTTTTGGTGTCTTCTTGATCAGGATTTAATTTCTCGACATCGATGTATTCCTAATGGAGTAAAAAGGTAGTAAGTTCTTGAAATTATTGGTGTGCAACCAAATGAACAAAAATTAACTCCCGCAAAACAAAGGGATCAGCGCAATAACWTTTCCTGGAMATGGTTCCCATGGTAATGAATATTTCTACTGGTGAAAATAGGAGCTGAAGTACATGTATAGTTCCGGTCATCCTGAACATCACCTTTGTTGAAGTCTGAGAAATCGTGGCTATCATTATCTTTAGACTGATCGTAATCTTTTCAACAAAATGTCCAACAAGTCAGCAAAATAGTAGATCCTTTGCGCGTTTGGCAAAGTATATTATCGAAAAATTTCATTCAGTTTGAGAGATCCATTGCTTTTTATATCTATAAGCTTCGGAAAGGGGGCATACATCAACAGAGCATGAGCTCCAATAAAACGACCCGAGACTATTACTACTATTTGTTCGGATGTATTTTTTCAACTTTCCTATCGCTTAAGTGATTTAGATTCATTATTTGGATCAAAATTTGTCAATACAAAATTGTTCAGTTTGAATAGGCCTTTGGCATGAAACGGTCACATGGTACTAAATCCACCACTCGGATGTTCAAAACAAAGGAAAAGTCCGACGGCGTTCCTTTTGCTTTTAAGGTTGTTTACATTACTTTGCCATCCAGTGAAAAGAAAGTGAAATTCAAAGGAACATTTGAAGCGACAATTTTGGGAACTAGCGGTAAACTGCTGCGTCGGTGTTTCTAATAAAGAAACAGTTGTGTAAAAAGATAAATTTAACACCGTAAAAGAAGTAGAAGTAACTTACTGACGTTTCGGACGTTAATCCTTCGTCTTCACTCCGTTATTTCACCTACTTGTTTTACGGTGTTAAATTTATCTTTTTACACAACTATTTCAAACGAAAGTCGATTTCTTCTCAAAAATTGATTAATGTAAATGTGCTTATAGGTGTGTCGTTAGTATAATGGAAACACCTCTCAAMCATTACCTGAATTACTTGGGGTTCAACTATCGGATACCTAAGTTCTATGTAACCACTCTCTACGGCTACACAGTGGTTACCTCATCATATGATGATATTATTTTACATACCCACCCCAGGCTAAAGATACAAAGGTACATTATTTTAGCGCTGAAAGCGTGGCCTAGCAGATACGAYCACAGGCAAAACCMACCCTACCCCAGACAATGAAACTACAYCCTATCCTAGACAAAAAAYTACCCTATCCCAGACCAAATCAGCAACTACCCTATCCCAGACAAATGSGCAAAAAATGATACCCTATCCCAGACTTGGAGCTCTGAAGAAGGGACCCTGTCGAGCGGCACATACCCGTATATAGCAAATATAGGGGAGTACTCCCTCCTCCTCCCCTCCTCGCCCCCCCCAGGCTGAATCTTGTAGATATTTTGTGCAATATCTTCAAACAAATATAAACGATTGATTGTAGGTAAGGCCATAATCTCAGGAATAAAATGTTTTGGTWAAAATAATCCGATGGGATTCAGTTCTAAAGGTATAAAATGTACATAAAGATAACCTCACTTTGTCATGTATTCCTCGATCGTTTTGACTTATAAATTTGTCACTTTTCACTCCGACTWTTCACCTGAAGTGATGAGGTAAGAAATGAATACGGATGATGATACGGTGATTTACCTGAATTTTTTCTGCAACATTATCCTTTTCCTCCTTGTTTGACGCCGTTGAGAAGTAATCTTCCAGCATCATCGCACGCATATCTTTGAGAGCGTCAATTAGGTCCGTTGCCATGCTAGTGTTATAAACATCCATCCATGCCTTATAAAGAGAACTAACAACATTAATAATAACGTTCAGCTATGAGCAATTTTTTAAGTATATATTATTATTATATATATATATTATTTAAGTAATAGTTCAAACAAAATATAGTAATAATATTTAATAATAAGACGCTTTACCTCAAATTATTATTTTTCTTTTTTTCTTTCTTTCTTTCCCGTATATAGTTATCAAGTATTTATCAAGTATATATTTTCTCATACTCTTCTATTGTCATTGCTCAACTGTAAAATATTTTTAAGTTCTTCGTAACATCTAACCTGCCTATACTAGCCGTTTTGCTATATGCAGGTTATATGTGTTTTTTGTCAAATATTACACCGAAGTTATAATAAATCTGAATCTGAATCTGAAAGCAATTTAGAAACATCTACTTCATKAGCGTTCAAGTAATTGTAGAATGTTCGGAGTCTTATCGATGTTTCTATAATATATTTGCAGGCCCGAAGGCTGGGAGTTTCGGGGGGTTCGGACGTACCCCCCACAAGCTTAAAAGGTCCGGTGTTTCTCCTTTTTATTGTTCTATTTTAAAATTCTTTTGTTATGAATAGCATTTTGTTGAAATGAACTGCTCATTCTAGCAGACAGTTCTTACACATTGCATTGAACTAATTTAGTTATTTAATAGGTCCTCATTAAAACGGGTCTGATTTATACGGTTAATTCTGTCAAGAACGGATCCTTACTTGCTGCACATCCTCGTTTGCTTCTTTCACGTCCTCTAAATGTTGTTTGATTTCAGCCACGTATGTTTTCATGTTTTTTACACTTTCTTTTGCTTCTGCTGCTTTCCGTTTACAGTTATCAAATGTCTCTACGGCGGTCCATACAGCAAGAGCTAAAGAATGGATATAAGTACATTTTGAGTGAAGAAAACCGGTGMGCAAGATTTTCTGAAAACCAGTACTTAGCAGGGTCGTGACATGTGGGACTGATTAGGGATCAACCTTATTTTTTGGGATCAGGGATCAAACGTTTTGCTTTAGAATCGGGATCACAAGCACTGGGTTCAGCCTTATAATTTGCAAATATAAATGCATGTGATCATTCATATTTATAATTAGTGGAATCAAGGTTGGAATTTCAACAAAAATGTGTGATCAGGTATTAAATTTTTGGTCAAAAAACGGAATCGCTAATAAAAAAATATGCAATCGCCATAGAATTACTTTATGGGTATTTGATTTAACTTGCCAAGATACTCTTCCTCACTAAAGACTTCCTGCACTCTAAACATGTAAGAATGATCACGATAGAATAGCACGTCCTTACCTGCTGCTTCCTGCACTCTAAACATGTAAGAATGATCACGATAGAATAGCACGTCCTTACCTGCTGCTTCCTGCACTCTAGACATGTAAGAATGATCACGATAGAATAGCACGTCCTTACCTGCTGTTCCAAGCTTCACAAGCCCTTTCAGACCAGACTTTGCAAGATCAAAAAGCCGTTTTGCTTTAGTGAACTTAGGAGCAACTTTACTGATGATTCGATTAAGCTTTGCAGTTATTTTTGTTTTTAATTTTCCTAAGATTCCCTTTGAAAATATTTTGGCCAAAGTGCTCTTTCCTTTAGCTGATAGAGGTTGAGTTACTTTTGAACGGAATTTGTCGACGAACTGAAATCAATCATAAAAGAGTTTTAGTGAAACATGAAAGTATTTAACAAATAGATCTCATTTTTCTGTGCGTGTGTACTCTAATAGATACACAGATGACGTCAAAATGTAGTGAGAACAAAAAAGTACGCACGAGACGCAGTCGAGTGCGTGACTGTTGTTCTCACTACATTTTGACGTCATCTGTGTATCTATTAGAGTACACACGCACAGAAAAATGAGATCTATTTGTTAAATACTTTCATGTTTCACTAAAACTCTTTTATGATTGATTTCAGTTCGTCGACAAATTCCGTTCAAAAGTAACTCAACCTCTATCAGCTAAAGGAAAGAGCACTTTGGCCAAAATATTTTCAAAGGGAATCTTAGGAAAATTAAAAACAAAAATAACTGCAAAGCTTAATCGAATCATCAGTAAAGTTGCTCCTAAGTTCACTAAAGCAAAGCGGCTTTTTGATCTTGCAAAGTCTGGTCTGAAAGGGCTTGTGAAGCTTGGAACAGCAGGTAAGGACGTGCTATTCTAT